CTTCTACGGCAGTTTTCATGTAATTTGCGGCCATTATCTACTGGCCAGAGTGAGAGACTACAGCTGACTGACACGAATGTTAACTAGCATGCTAGCATGCAAAAAAAAATCGATAGCTGCATTCGTCACAAGTGGAAAAAATTTAAATCTGCATGGCACTTTACTCCAATTGGCTCATTCGCTTGCTTAAACTCAACGTTGATTCTGATTCCGCAGAACTGGGTTGGGTGTGAAAAAGTATTTGTTGTTAACATTCTTTTTTCATTCGGTTTTTCCAGTTACGAGTCCTTTTTTAAAGCTGATCGTTTTGTGTTCATTTTGTTTAGTTCTTTTTTCGTAACAGATTTAATGTCTAGTATAGAGCTTAGAAAAAATTCGCTGTGTGAGATAGGCAAGAAGTAAGGCATGTAGCAACATCAGCACGGCAAAGGGCATTCCTTTAAAGGCAAGGAAGGGCAAAAATATTTTAAGTCTAGTTATAGCAATTGCTGTATGCGTCATACGATTTTTGAATCAAGCACGGGCAACGACGGGCCATGTTGCTAGTGTATAATAGTTCTATACTCAGTAAGTCTTGCAGTAATTCCTGATCATTGACAATACCTTTCAATATAATCCTATAGTAAAATCATTAACATAGCACTTGTAGTATATATACAATAGCCTGATTCTGTCAATAAGGTTTTCATTAATTCCCAACCACTGGCAATCCTTTTCTTTCTGATTGACAATGCATTCCTATAGTAAAATAATTAGCAATGCGTTCAGTAACGTCATTCGCACAGGATTTTTTTTTACAGTAGGTTTCGCCCTGTACAATGCTACTCGAGGTAGAGGTTTACATCAAGAGACACTTTATACAGATAGGAGGGGAAGATAGAGATTAATCTAGACTTGAACAGTTTAAGATTGTAGTGATCCGAGAAGCATCCTCTTGGGAGTCAGTCCCACAGAGCAGTGGTTCGCAGAAAGAAGCTGTTCAACTGAATCTTACTTCTCATCGATGGAATACGGAGTAAATTTGGGTAGGTTGCTACAATGTGAGTGGCATTGAGGGTCCTGGTTTTGATGCTTAGAACTGGTGGAACCAAGGAATGTATTTCGTTCGAGAACTTTCGATGGAAGTAGCAATAGAGAAGAGAGAGGCCTGCCACATCCCCTACATTCTGTGAGAAAGAGGTTGGAGTGTGGAAAATAATTCGTCACTCACAATTTTAATGCAAAATTAGCCGGGTAAGTTTTTGCTTGGGAATAGCACATTTTTTTCAGATTTTTTTTTTTTTTTTTTTACGAATAATATCTGATCGTTTCTCAGAGATAAGGTGTTTTTTTTAACCATTTTAATGAATATTTCCATCGAAAATTTTCAACAACTGTTGTTTTTTTTTCTTTGATAGTATATATTTTTTATTAAAACATTTTTCAAGTGTGAAATATTACTATATAATGATTTTTCAGCCACACGTTTTTATGTAAGATATGATTTACGCCAAGTAATATTAGATGACTGAATCGAAGTTGATATCAATCAAGAACCTTTGTTCTAAAAGGAATTGATATATGGTGACCCTAATGTGTACTCGGTTCACCGTAAGAGAAGAAAAAAAACTCTGCACTCGATGTCAAATCAGAATGTCAAAAGAGCTAGTTGCACTTGAGAGTGGAACTAGGTGGCATCAAAACCATCAATTGCATAATCAAGCCTCAAAGGATGTCAATGGCTGCCCTGAAATACGAACAGGAAGCCAACTGAATTGAAATTAGAATATATACATTAAAGACAACTGGATGACAGGAAGTTACATAAACGTCCGACCCGCGAGGGGAGAAGGTGAGGTCCCTTGTGGCCGATATTAATTTGACGGAGTCCAGAAGTGTATTATTTTACGCATGAAATATTTAGCCTCGTTATCATCATATTTAGCCTCGTTGTCACCTTACCAGATGTTACTAAGATAACCTTATATTACCTTAGTTGTTTTAACCGTGATGTTTCACTCATTCATACCCCGAGCGTTCCTTACTACCTGTCGTATCTGGTACTCTTGAAGGAAATGTGTAATTCTTTGTATGCTATTATTATTATTATTATTATTATTATTTCCTCTGAATTCTGGTGTGTACACATTTCTTTTCGGGTCCCACCCAGAGACCTAAGGTTAGAAATGGCAAAGCCACAAACATATTTTACATAGATAAAGCCCTTCGTAAGGTGTAGGCTATACTCATGCGAACAATTCTTTGTATTTCTTTAAGGCATGATCTTCCAGGAATCCCTTCAATTAGTCTACTGGAATCTTTTCCAACCAATCAAGGGCTTCAACTACAACACGGATTGTTGATGTTTCCATGTGCCACATTTTTGAGATTTCGATTTCAAGGTCCTTGTATTTTGATAGCTTTTTGAAGATCTTCAAAGACACATTGTACTTATCAATAAGGAGGAAATTTTTGTTAGCGGTCTCTAATAACAAGGTCTGGGCTGTTAGCTTTGATTGTTCTGTCAGTGTGTATTGTGTAGTCCCATAAAATTGTTACGGGTCCTATCTCCGTAACCAGGTCTGGGTGGTGTTCATACCAATTTTTTTCAGTTTCCTTTCCGTAGAAGTTGCAGATTTTCCAGTGCAGATATTGGCCTACTCTGTCATGCCGGGTTTTATATTTAGTGGGTGCCAATACCGTGCAACCTGATACAAGATGATCAATTGTTTCTGGATATTTACCACAGAATCTGCATTTTGGGCGAACACAATATTTTTAGTATGTGTGCTTGATAATTTCTCCTTAACAAGCATTGGTCCTTCAGTTTATGGTTTCAACCCTGCACTACGTAGCCACTGATGGATACGGGTTTTGTCTACATCAGCTTGTTTGGTACGGGCAGAGTATTGGCCATGTAGCGCTTTACCTACCCAGTGATTCTGTATCTGGTCGGTTGCATTTGTCTTTGCCCTCTTTTTTTTTTTAAAGTATTTTGTAACTTCAGTCAGTGTATTGTGCTTTACTTGTATTTCTGCACCAATTTGAAATTCTATTTTGAACTTGTTACTATTATTATTAGTAGTAGTAGGATTTGCTTTGATTTCTGTTCTATATACATTTCCTTCCGAGTCAAAGATGGCTTCATGACATTTTCCACTGATCATTTGTGTAAAAACACATTTTATATCGATAAAGCTCTTCGTAATGTGTGAACTGCACTTGTAAGTACAATTTTTTGTATTTCTTTAAGGCAATCCCTTCACTGAGTCTATCGGAACCTTTTCCAATCAAATCGAATTTCTGATGTCCTCATGTGTCATATTATTGATTTTTGCGCTTCAAGATCTTTGTATTTTGATAGTTTTTTTTAAGATACATTACAATCTACAGGGACTGCCATGTCAATAAAAAAGCACATTCTGTTCTTGTGATATTATTTACTTTGATTTTTGTTCTATATTCATTTCCTTCCGGTTTCTCAACCGGAAACTTAAGTTGATCCCATAATGCATTGGGTTTATGTAAAGATAATATATTTCTTGTTTCTTAGGAGGAAATAAAAAAAAAAACATTATGAGTTGTGTTTTTTTTTTAGTACTATAAATGACAAGATTTGTTCAGTTATTTGATAAAATGGCAATATTAAATCCACAATAACTGATCAAATTCTTTACACAGCTATTGCAGTGATTTTCGCATAGTAAAATCATTTAAAACATGAATGAATATTATATATATGACTCAACACCAAGCCAAACATTTTTTAGAAAATTTGAAAGTTTATTTATATATATATATATATATATATATATATATATATATATATATATAATAAAAAGGCTTAAACACTAATATTCCATGGTGATAGTTTATTCCAATGGAATCGTAAATACGATCCAATTCATCAGACCTACAAATTCAAAAAGAAAACAGAAAGAACAACTCCGGAAATAAAAAATAGAATTTAGAGAGAGTGTAAGTATGAGAGTGTGGGACGAATGTTAGAGCTAAAGAGAGGGGTAACAGACGAGAGAAGGTGGGAGATTAAAACTTAACAGAGAGAAGTTTTTAGAGAGGTGAGTCAAAGACGGTTTAAGTGAGAGAAATATGAATGTTGTTGGATGTCTAAAGTTATATATATATATATATATATATATATATATATATATAACTTTCGTGATAATAGCTGCGACATTGAACAATTTAGTTCATGCCACATCGACTGAAAAAAAAACTACTACAACAAAAGAATTCTCCAATTACCATATTAGTAAAAAAAAACGCACTCTCTTTTAAATTTTCAAAAACTTCAACCTTAGCGTTGCGACCGCACGCTCCATAATTTCTTACAATTAACAATAACACATTTCTAAAAAAACATATTTCGATTCACATCTAATCTTTCGTGTCCCGTTATTACCTGGATGGATTAAAAAAAAATCAATTTCCATGCCTGATGATGTCTGTATGAACAGATGAAAGTACTAGCAAAAAAAAAGACCTTATACATGTTGAATTTATTAAAAACAGGGATCATAACATTCATCTAGAGGTTCGTGGGTTAATGTAATTTTAATAAATTTGTTTGCGAAGATGTATTCTCGCCATTTATATCATTAACTTCACTTCTGTTTTTTGCATGAATGATTGATGTAATATATATATATATATATATATATATATATATATATATATATATATATATCATCAGGTGTAAAACGGTATCATGGTATTATTTTCCACTGAACATTTCAAAACCCTTCGTAAGGTGTGAACTGTATTTGCATTTGAACATTTTTGCTGTGTCTATTTTAAAATTCCATACAATTGTTACATGTCTTATATTTGTTGTTGTTGCTATTATTATTAACATTAATAATAATAATAATAATAATAATAATAAAACTGTTGTGGAATCAAAGAAAAGAAAACAGAAATAACTTATACAAAATAAAATAAGAAAAAAATCAATTTAATATGAATGTTTTAAAGAATAAGTATAATTAAAAAATTCTTACTGATTTTTGTAAAGTGTTCGGTCAACTGCTGGTATAGGTACACATGAGTTTGTGCTATTATTTCCGGTCAGTAATGGCTGCTTTAACTGCGCATGCGTTACAGCTGAACCAATGATCATCCATATTGTCATAATAGAAGCGGTGATAAATCCAACAAGAGCTCCCTGGAAAAAAAGTATATATATATATATATATATATATATATATATATATATATATATGTGCAAGTTTTGTTGAAAACGAGTGACAAAATACTGTGGGATTTTTAAAAAAATAATTTCTCATGTGTTCGTATAATTTTTTTTCTTTTCAGGACATAAATTATATAAAAAATGTATGAATGTTTTCCAAGTACTTTCGGCTATACTTTTAGCCATTATCAAGGATGAATTTTATTTTATTTTTAACTGAATATTTGGATTATTTTATGTATGTATCTAGATTTATAGGAATGTTTTATTTTTCAAACACGTTCAGCATATTGTGGCCGTGTTCATAGTTGGTATGTTGGCTTTTTATTTTTTTTAATAATACTTCTATTATTATTATTTGTTGTACAAATACAAATTCGTAAATAATTATATTGGATATATTACAACATGTTTAACAAGAAGGCTCACGTTACATCTCTTTGACCATAGCTCAATTGTTTTGTTAAACAGAGCAAATTTACGCCTACCGGTCTGTGCTTTCGGGAGTCAAAATAAAGAAAATGTACCTTAATAAATTCACTTGCATTATCTACCCCCAATGAAATGAGTAGATTAAATCAAGGAAACTAGGGATGGTAAGTTTTAAAAAATTTTATTTTATATATATATATATATATATATATAATTAAAAAATTTTTAAACAACATCTAAAATATTGATGACAGTTAGATTTAAGTTGGGAATATCCGAACAGTGACGTTCCATATCACGTGACGTCCGCGTCTCGCGACGGACGCTACTTGCTAACAAACAGTAATTTTAATTTATTTGTAACAAACAGTTATTTCTGATGAAAGATTGAGGACAATCTGAAATATCAAATATATATATGAATAAATAAATAAATACTTTCATAAAATAAAACATTATTATTTTTTTAATTTGCAACTTTTTTATATATATATATATATATATATATATTGTTTAAAGTATGCTATATTTACAGGGAAATAGTGCTCAATATCGGAGATACAGCGTTTATAGATATAGTCGTCAGTATCTATCTATCTATCTATCTAATTATATACGGTGTCCCAATAACTTGGACCGATTTTAAATGTGAAATAAGTTTAAGCGTCTAATGATTTTTTTTCTCTTTCTTTCAGATTTGGCGGCCATTTGGGTGATATTATTTTTCACACATAATTGTCATGACTTAAATAACATGATCCAATAGAGAAATAAATAAATTTTCACCAATATCACTGATTTATTTACTGCTGACTTTGATCCGTCTTTATGAAACATCCTTTATAACAAAATGTGACGAACAAATGCTGTGATGAACAAAACCTGTAACTATATCATGCAAATTTGGCTGTGATGCATGTGACTGGTATACACTTATCAGAATGGGTGTCATGATGGGTACATTGGGCTTCGTATATTTGTTGGCGTGTTTCTAGCTCACGCAATAATAATAATAATATGTTTATGTATTTACGTATTTGTTACTGTAATTGAGCAAAAAATGGCACCTCGTACCATAATTTTTGTTAACACGATACCTTTGAATTTCTTTAACTTAATGTTGTGGAGTGATTTCACAGTGGAGGCTTGTATTTGTACTAAGTCGGTCTTAAAATAGGTTCAACGTACAAAACGTTAAGAACTTGATATAATAAGTATAACGCAGAGTAATCTAGTTGTGGTCGCTGATACTTTAGTATCCGACTAACGGTCGTCCGGCATTGACTGACTCACTGACTGCCTGACTGACTGCATCATTACTCTTACTGCTCCTACTTATTATAGGTGGGAGAGTTTATTAACTATAGAATAGGTGTGTTCCACTATAACACTTAGAGAATAAGGCAATTTCCAGTCCATTCGAAACTGGTTTAAGGGTTATTTTTAATTAATTAAGCGTAAATGAAAAAAAAAAACACCAAAAACCCTGTTTAATGGATATAAGTCCAGGTCATCTAACTGCTAATTACACAATGGATTCTTATAATCTGTCTGCATCCTACTCGGTCAGTCATGGTGGTGTACTGTTGACGATATTTGATACTAAACGGAGGCTGCTGAAGGCGACAATTAAGTAATACTTGAATACTAAGGAGTGTGCTGGTATATCGAAAAGATTTGCAGTAATTTAGTCTTCAACGAAGGTTACTATTTCCTATTGACGTGAAAGCAGAATAATGACAATCTGAATTGTTGAATACTTACAATGGAGTTTGAAAAGGGTATGAAAAGTCCAAGGATGAACATGCCGGCGATGGGACCACTAATAGCCTGCATTACCTGAAGAGTTGTCTGAAGAATCGTTGTAGAATTGTATAGGCTGACGATGAAAGCGAAGGCAATAGAAAGGGTTCCCAGAATCAAGGCTGTCAAAAAAAAAAAAAAAAAAAAATCAGTATTACTATTTCTGCTGCTACTACTACTACTATTTCTTCTACTATTACTATTTGTATTTCTTCTACTACTATTACTACTACTACTATTACTATTTCTGTTGCTACTACTACTATTTCTACTGCGATTTCTACTAATACATTTATTTATATTTCTTCTACTATCACTATTATTACTACTGCTGCTTATATATATCTACTATTAATACTACTACTAATATTATTTATATTTCTGCAACTACTACTATTTACTTTGATAACACACTGAATTTATACTTAAATCAATTTTGAATTTATAATATTTTAATAAACCGGCACAGATACAGGAAACCGATACTTCACAAACATTTGGGAGCCATCTTTTTTTTTTATCAACACTAGAATCTTTGCGGAAATGATAATGTCATCTACTTGACGGTAAATATTTTATACGGAACATAGCTAAGCCAATAATGATTAAAATTAAATGAACAGGTTTGGAAAGTTCGAAAAAGTACCTTTAAGTATAAAGAAATGCCATAAATTTTAGAAAAAGGTGGTTTACTCTGTTGCTAGGCAATCAGAATCGGCTTTTCTTTTCTTTTTTTTTTTTACAGCTTTTGATTTCATTGATATTTTTTATCATTGTTGCTGATAGCCGCAAAGCGCTCGTTATTATATAAGTCAAAATCTTGTAATCCTTCTGCCGCTGGTCTGTGCGGCTCATTTTTTATTCAGATTTTTGACCACGTATGCAAATTAGCGATAGTTTTAAAAGAGCTAGAACCACGCATGCGTTTTGACTAAATTGCAAATGGCGGCTCCGACTGGGCAGGCGAGATATCCGGGCCTCGTTGCTCACACTCTCAGCCCATGGTATTCTTAGCATCCTTCTGTAGAACCACTTTTCTGTTGCCTTAATTCTTTTCTTCATGAGATTGTTCAACCTTCACTGCCATATAAGGAGGATTTTTATTACGTAACAGTTCCATACTATTTCCTTGTTTCTAACACATTTTTCCTGTTCCTTAATACATTGCTTAGCTTTTGGAAGGCATCTTTCGCTATCCCAATGCGCCTTCGGATTTCAGTGTCTTTCTTGATATTTAAATGTCCTAGAAATTTCAACTGTCTTTTTTTGATGCAAAGTATCCTTTTTGTTTCCATTTTCCTGAAAACTTCCTTCTTGCTCGCATGTTCAGTCCATGGTATTCTCAGCATCCTTCTGTTGAACCACATTTCTGTTGCTTCAAATCTCTTTTTCATCTGTGAAGAGATTGTTCAGCATTCACTGCCATATAGGAGGAACGATATAATGTAATAATTCTGTACTATTTTCTTTGTTTCTAACAATAATTTCCTGTTACTTAATACTTTGCTTAGCTTTTGGAAACCATCTTTTGCTTGTTTATCACACGTTTAATATATGCTATTCTCAGCATCCTTCTTTAAAACCACATTTCTGTTGCTTCAAGCCTCTTCTTCATTCGTGAAGAGATTGTTCAGCCTTCACTGCCATAGAGGAGGGCTGATATTACGGAACAGTTTAAGACACTTTCCTTTGTTTCTAACGATTTTTTCCCCTATTTCTTAATTTTTGCTTAGCTTTTTGGAAGGCGCCGGATTTCAGTTTCACGTTTACCGTCCATGTGAGAACACTTCTCAGATATTTAAATTTACGTATTTGCTTGATTTCGACATCTTCAATTCGTAATCCGCATCTTGGGCTGTTCCTTTTTCTGACAACCATACATTCTGTCTTCATACAATTGATGGGTCGTCTTTTTTTTTTTTTTTAAATCACTTGACTCCAAACAAGGCGATAATACCACTAAAACGCAAAGGGTTACTGGGAAGGTGGTGGGGCGGTTGAAAGAAAATAGGAAGACTTTAGAAGGAACCAGAAACTCAGTCCTAAACAGGAAACAAAGGATAAACATCCACTCCTGTACCCCCCACTAAAAAAAAACAAAAAAAAAACAAAAACATGGGAATAAGTGTGAACCGGGTGATCGGCAAACCTATCGACTTCTATTGCTTTTCTCCTTTTAATACTTAAAGTTTTCTTGGGAGCTTTGATGTAATAAACATATATGTTATTCTGATTTCACAGTGGAATGCGTGGTAGATAATGCGCAGCTTTCGTGCATATACATGTTTATTGAGGATATGATTACTAGAGGCGGTGATATTTATCTTTATGTTGTAGTTTTGTTGAAGTTATATTTTGGAATACAGTTTAATTTCTTTAAGAAATTGTAAGATATTTTATGGATTAATGTCATGAAAGAATTCTTTCATGTTGGTTGTTTGCTTGATTTTCTTTAGTGGCATATCAACCTCTTAATGCCGAAATCAAAATATTTGGAACACAATTTTATGGCTTCAACTAAATATATATTAAACTTAATTATATGCTTTCAAATACAGATAAAATGTATTGTTAGTAATTCTATAAAATTGTATTTCTGGTCATTTTCAAAATACTCCAGTTCGTTGCCTATCTTTTTTTTTAATCATTTCACTACAAGCAAGGTATTTATTGCCTTGCGTGTAGTGAAATGATAACGACACAGAGTGTTTAATATTGATTGCATCATTATTTTAGTCAGTTTCATTTAGTTAACTATTTTATTCTAACCATTGTCTACCTCTATTGCTTGGTAAACAGTAGTCAAACCATCAACAAACTGGATTAAACATATTCTGACTAAACATATTTTTAATTTTATAACAATAGGTATTGTCGGTCATTTTATAATGTCAACGTGTATTTATATGTCAACGTGTATTTATATGTCAACGTGTATTTAATGTCAACGTGTATTTATATGTCAACGTGTATTATATGTCAACGTGTATTTAATGTCAACGTGTATTTAATGTCAACGTGTATTACTGAAGGAAGACAGCGACCGGAATAAAGCAAACTTAATTGGTTAAAATAGTGATGTAATCTCGTCACAATATTTTGACAGGTACACTTCAGACCTCATCGAATAATCAGATCATCGTCTTTGAATTCCTTCCTGGTTTCTGTAATTCTTGGCACTGTACGTGTGTTTATCAATTCCATTTAGTCAACTGTTTTATTCAAGCAGTTGTCTTCCTCCACAATCGTATACACTCAGTAACACTCTGCATCTTTATTATTTCACCTCAAGCAAGGCAATAAATGCCTTGCTTGTAGTGAAATGATAAAAAAAGGTACCCAAGCTTATTTAATTTTAATTAACACAAACATCAATTGTTTAAAACGTATGAAAAATATATATATTCCCGGTAAACATTCATTAACTCCGTGTATTTTAGTCGCTTTATTGCCTTACTGGAAATTAGATAATAAAAAAAAAAGTTAGTCAAGCCGATTTATTTCTAATTAACATAAACACCAATTGTTTAAAAAGTATAAAAAAATATATATTCCCGGTAAGCACTCATTAACTCCTTGTATCTTAGTCGCTTTATTGCCTTACTAGAGATTAAATAATAAAACGTTAGTCAAGATGATTTAATTTTAATTAACATAAACATTAATTGTTAAATAAAGAATAACAGCAAAAGAAAACATAGCAATTAAAACGGCATCGTCATGTTGTGTTTGTAACTTACAGATAATAACTGTTAACTTTCCTGAAGAACTGTCGCTGTGTGGGTTTTTGAAGAGGTGGGACCAAAGTGGCATTACAAAGTCATAGTACATCACTGCTGCCAGAGAATTTATTCCTGATGATATGGTACTGCGTGGGTAAATAGAAAATAAAATGCATAATACTCACAAATTCTAAAGGCTTCCATCATTTGTAAGAAGAAAATAGTGTCGGATCAATTTAACTTACGTAGATGCATCAAAAATAATTATATACTAAAAAATAGAGACATTTCCTGACTAAATTAGGATTGGTATGACATATATAAAACTGAACACAATTTGACAAAAGAAATGATAGAAACAGACCGAGATAGATTGATAAATAGAAAGATAGATAGATACGAACAAAATGAGATAGATAGATAGATAGATAGATAGATAGATAGATAGATAGATAGATAGATAGATACCAGCCAAATTGATTGATAGATAGAAAAATAGATAGATACGAACAAAATGAGATAGATAACTAGATAAATAGATAGATAGATAGATAGATAGATACCAGACAAATTGATTGATAGATAGAAAAATAGATAGATACGAACAAAATGAGATAGATAGATAGATAGATAGATAGATAGATAGATAGATAGATAGATAGATAGATAGATACATGCATACATACGAACAAATTGCGATAGATAGAAGTATACGAACAAATTTGGATAGATACGAACAAATGTTGATAGATAGAGAGATACGAACAAATTGAGATAGATTCGAAAATACTAACATAGATAGATACGAATAGACAGAATAGATAGATAAAAACAGACATAGATAGATAGATAGATAGATAGATAGATAGATAGATACGAACAGACTGAGATAGATAGATAGATAGATAGATAGATAGATAGATAGATAGATAGATAGATAGATATGGACAAATTGCGATAGATTCGAAAAACTGACATAGATAGATACAAATAAACAGAATAGATAGATAAATAGATAGATAAAAACAGGGATAGATAAATAGAGATAGATGTGAATAAATCTATATGGATAGATACAAAGAAATTGAGATAGATTGACAGATAGATACGAACAAAATGAGATAGATATTCACACAAATAGACAGAATGACCCGAACAAACTGAAAGAGATAGATAGATAGATAGATAGATAGATAGATATGAATAGATTGAGATAGATATGAACAGGGTGAGATAGATAGATAAATAGATAGATATGAATAGATTGTGATAGATAGATAGATAGATAGATAGATAGATACGAACAGACTGATGAAGATAGATACGAATTAATTCAGATAGACAGATAGATAAATAGGAACAAATAAGATAGATAATCACATAGATAGATAGATAGATACAGAGATAGATGGTATTTATCAATTCACCCACAGGAATTGAATGCGGCACAAGGCCTTTTTAATGTGGGTATGTCTGAGCCCGTAGGCCCAGCCAAAAATAAAACCCATCTAAACCCGTCCAAGCGGGCTAGTTCCGTCAACCTCCCCGAACGAAACCCTACCCTTCGGCGGAGCTTCGTCCGGGTTCCTCTCTGCAAGCAGAGAGTTCGACAGACACCCGGCTCGGCAGCTCACAAAGCACAGATACTACACTTTGATCCTAGCCACCGGGCCGAGCGGGTATTCTTTTTATTGATACAGAGATAGATACATACATACATACGAAATCACTGAGATAGATACGAACAAATTTAGGTAGATGCGAATAAATTGGGATAAATAGATAGATAGATGGATAGATAGGAACAAAGTAAGATAGATAATCATACAGATAGATAGATAGATAGATAGATAGATAGATAGATAGATAGATAGATAGATAGATCCGGACAAATTGAGATAGATTGATACGAACAGTCTGAGATAGAAAGATGGATACGAAAATTGAGATAGATAGATACATAGATAGATAAATATGAAAAATTGAGATAGATAGACAGACAGCTAGATAGATTCGAACAAGTTGAGATAGATCAGCAGATAGAGTGATACGTACAAATTGAGATAGATCCATAGATAGATACAAACAAATTCAGATAGATAGATAGATAGATAGATAGATAGATAGATAGATAGATAGATAGAGACTAACAAATTGAGATAGGTAGGTATGAACAAATTGAGATAGACTGATACGAATAGACTGAGATAGATAGATAGATAAATAGATAGATATGAATAGATTGAGGTAGGTAGATCGACAGATAGATACGAACAGACTGAGATAGATAGATAGATAGACAGATACGAACAGACTGAGATAGATAGATAGATAGATAGATATGAATAGATTGAGGTAGGTAGATCGACAGATAGATACGAATAGACTGAGATAGATAGATAGATAGACAGATACGAACAGACTGAGATAGATAGATAGATAGATAGATAGATAGATATGAATAGATTGAGGTAGGTAGATAGACAGATCGATACATAGATACGAACAGACTTATATATATATATATATATATATATATATATATATATATATATAGATAGATAGATAGATAGATAGATAGATTAGATAGATAGATCATAGATATTAATAGACTGAGATAGTGCATTTTCTACATTAAATCAGTGAACGCGAAAGTTCCGTTGACATAGAAGTGCTTTGAGTGTGTTTTGTTTTATTTACAGTTTCTTTTATAATCGTATATTCATTTCTTTAAATTTCGGGATGTTCCACCGATGTTTTTTTTTTTTTTTTTTTTTGGTGGCGGGGTTGCTAGGAGGCTTACTTATAATTCTGTTTGGTAGAATCCTTCTTTTAATGTAAAGTTAGCATTTTGTTTATATTCATTAAATGTTTAACCATTTTTTCCTAAATGTTTTTGGTGTTTGTTTTGTAATGGGCAACGCCTCGGAATCGGAAAGCCGAGTTCGAATTCCAGTCGGGTTCGTCACATTCACATAGGCGCAACTAACTTTGAGAAAGGTATGGATCCATCTATTCCACCCCCCCTCCGCCGCCTCCAGATATAGATTGAATAGCAGGACAGACTAGGCTCTATAGCTATCGTCAGAAACCAGTTTATCGTAGAAAGAAAACGGAAGCCTACTGCGAGAAATCTTATGCCAAGTCGAAAGATAGAAAACATATAGAAAAGATACATCGAAAGAAATATGGTCGCCTAAGCGTGTATCACGTGACGCTCATTGTGTAATGTAAAGTGGACTTAGTTTTGGGTTTATAAATTCTTTTACTTTTTTGTGAATTAAGTAAACTTTTTGTTTATGTAAACTTTTCGAATTATGTAAACTATTCGTGAAACGGCGTTTGATCTTTGTTGGGGCCCCTGTAGTATCTCATCAAAGAAAACTGTCACTTTTGAGGCTATATCAATTTTGAATATATTACTTTTTCCCCCCTTTTTTATATGCTTAATAATTGTGACTGGACAGTTTTCATGCAGGCCATTCTCTTGCAAGATGTTGCATACATAAATAAATAATTTATTTACTTAACCTTTAATACTCTGTTGGAGACTATCATTGCCAACAAAATGTTAGTACTGCCAATGTTAAATTTGAATTTCTTGTTTGTGTACACATATCCTTCTATGGCAACACCTAAAACAACCTTGACTAAAATTGAGAGCCAGGCTACTACAATTTCAAATTTATAGAACTAATATATAAAACACTATATTTTGATGGATTCCATATATAGTAAAAGGGGGGGTATTATTTATAAATGATGCAGAGTGTTAAAGATATTTGAAACTTCTTTTTATTCTTTTTTTTCTTTATTTTTTATTGTATTTTTTATTTTTCTTCATTCTTACTTTTTGCATAGACCCCTGTTATCAATCTCTCTTGGATTTCTTCTGCTGGGGTTCAGTTTGCATTTATTTTCCCCCCTTTTGTTTAATTATAGTTTGTTTTCTCTCTCGTTTTTTATTTTTTGCATTTCAACAAAAAGCTTTATGAGTATGAAAATTTAATATACTTGTATTATCTTGCTTGCACCAGACGTGAAAGAAAGCTACCAAAACAGGAGAACTGAAGCGCCTTTTATTTGGGTACCACATTTTTTTCTTTTTCTTTTCCTTAAATGAGAACAGTATTATAAAAAGCAATGATTGATGTACTATCCAAATGAGTACAAAGTTTGATCTTTGTTGGGGCCTCTGTAGTATTTTATCAAAGAAAACTGTCACTTTTGAGGCTATATCAATTTTGAATATATTACTTCGCCCCCTTTTTTTATATGCTTAATAATTGTAACTGGACTGCTTGCATGCGGGCCATTTTCTTGCAAAATGTTGCATACATAAATGAATGATTTATTTACTTAACCTTTAATACTCTATAGGAGACTATCTTCGCCAGCAAAATGCTAGTCCTGTCAATGTTAAATTTGAATTTCTAGTTTGTGTAGTCATATCCTTCTATGGCAACACCTAAAACAACAGGATAAACAGGACTAAAGAACTAACTGTGAGTTCAATTCCTTTTCGTTTATCATTAAGTTTTCGTTTACTATAAGAAATAACTATGGCAGTGGAAGATCTTTAAAATATATCAGGTGCAGGGGGCCGACACTATTTTTCCGACACTTTATTTTTTCAAGTTTTAGGTAGCACAGGCAGTCTGTACAGTTTTAGTGTAATGGCAATAACATTTAAAAACTGTTTCAATACTACAAATGGAAAAGCAGAAGTCAAATTAAAAGTATTTTTATTTTTTTACAATTTTTCACATTACACAGGCGACAGTATTTTTCGGACACTGCAGAAACAATGCTAATAGTTTATGGCAGCACCCTTTTTTTCAATGACTTCTATCAGTCTATCTTCATAATGTTCGTAAATATTGATAATAACGTCTCTTCGTGTTCCTAGCAGTCTATTTTTAGCATCTTGTATGCGCTGCCACAGTTCAGCCTCTCTGGTCATTTCTGGCCCGTCGTAAACAAGCTCTGCAAGCATTTCCCATATGTTTTCAATTAAATTTAAGTTTGGGCTTCTTGCAGGCCATTCCAGAGTAGTTATATTTGCTTCACACATCCAATTTTTCACTGATTTGGCCACATGGATGCTGCAGTTATCTTGCTGCAAAATAAAATTACTTCCCATTTCTTTTTCTATGAGTGGTAGGGCTCTCTTTTCCAAAAGTTCTCTGTAGCTCAAGCTATTTTGACGTCCTTTTAACCACTCGAGCCACAAGTTTCCATTCGGAAATACCATGCCCCAAACCATGACTCCTCCTCCTCTCATCTGTCTCTTGTTAAGAATAACAGGTTCACCTTTTCTCGACCACGTACACTACCCATCAGGTCCACCGAACTTAAAAGGTTTTTCATCAGTAAATATCACTTTCTTGAAGACGACATGGTTTGTTATCCATCTTTTGTCGCTTCCCAGCCTTGCCTCCTTGTGTTTTCTCGTTAGTGTAATTCTTTTCTTGATTTTAGCATACTTAAGTCCAATTTCGTGTAGCTTTCTTTGTACAGTTCGAACACTGACGTCAAGTTCACACTTCTCCTTTACTTTCTTCGCTGTCACCTTTTCTCCAGATGATAACAACCTCGTAACACTCCTCTTCATTCTTCTTTCTCTTCTCTTGGAAATTGTTTTTTCCGTCCTCTCTTCTTCTTCCGCTCATAGTCTGTACTTAGCATGTATTCAACTGTTGACTTCGGTAGCTTCATCTCAGCGGCGATATTTCGGATGCTGAGCCCGTCTTCTCTCTTCTTTTGGACCAAACTGATGACTTCTTTTGAATGCATTCTTCTTCGGGATTTTAATACGTTTTCGCAGTGAATGGTAAAGATACTCAAATGCAATGGTCGGTGTACAATTTACCTGCAGAAAATTAGCATATTGTAGACGTTCGACAACTAAATCATTAAAAAACCCGGAATTTGTGTCATGTCCGAAAAATAGTGTCGCCTAAGTTGAAGTAAAAATAAAGAAAACATGAAACCAAAGTCAAACCCATCAATCAATGTTCATACCATTAATGGACAGTTACTGCTGAACTACCTACTCATCAACACAAAAGCTCTCGGAAGCAAAAAACACCTTTAAGCACACTTTTCAAAATGTCCCAAAAATAGTGTCGGCTCCCTGTATATATTCGGAGCTGCAAACTCTAGGAGCCCTAAGTGCTTGCAGCCCCGAATGAAGAGAAAATTAATTGATCGTTGTTTACTTTGGCTAAACTTTCTTTGTGTTTTTCCCTTCAACTGCCAACAAAAAGCCAGTTTCCTTGGAGAGACAGAGTTGAAGGAAATGTCGCAAGGCAACGCGAGCGCATTTGGTGGCAAATCTTGGATACGTGGAATGTCATGGATTAATGCCATGAGGAGAGTGATAAGCAATCAGCCGCTAAACACCATATCAACACTTCGTGGGGGTGAATTAAATTCATTTCGTTCGATTGTATTTACTCTTCCAAACTGTAAGTCAATAGTAATTAACTGAAACGAGTTAACCGGAAATCCGTCAATTCATATAACTCACCATGACACTAAGCGAAAAAAGGGCATGTAACCTTGAATCATACCCTGGGGGACTGGGTATGGCACACACACTGAAAGACCCAAACACACAAAGAAATAATTGTTTCATGTTTGTCTTCGTGGTCTGGCAAATAAATAGTCTTTCTAATCAGACCAGTTGCTATAAGTGACCAATGCAATAAATAAGTTCTGTGTCAAACCAGTGCAAGAAGACCTATACAGGTCGATCTGCGATACAATATATTCCATAAAATCTTATCTTCAGAATGACAAACTATATATATATATATATATATATATATATATATATATATATATATATATATATTGATGCATGTTTCATTAAATAATATAAACAAGTTTTGTCTATTTATTTTATGCAAATTCCTTTCATACCGTCTGATAAGCTTAATAACATTATCATTGAAAGATGAAAGAAAATTACCATATTGATATATGTTTTTTAATCTTATCTAAGCTTTCGATCCAAAATTATGATCCAAAAATTATGATCCAAAATTATGATCCAAAAATATGATCTAAAATTATGATCCAAAATTATAATCCGGCCGTGCAACAAATTATTCGAAAATTTCAAAAATTAAATAAAAATTAAGCAGACATAAATTGTCGTTTGACTATATTTATGAGATGAAGTAGTGAAACTATTTACAGTATTTACATTGTTCAAACTGTTGTCTTCATCTTTATTGCCATATTCACGACGTTTCGGCCGTTGTAGGCTTCGGCCTTCTTCAGGTGATAGGAGATGAAATTTCCTTTATTTAGTCCACGGGGATAGATCGTTTTAATTCCACGTGCCAAGCCTTTGAATATTTCAGCTTCAGTTAATTCCCCTTGGTAACTCAACACTCCAAGTTTTTGTTCTGTCTGGTGAGACCAGGTACTGAACTCACAATTCTTTGGGTCAAGTCACTTTTAGGATCATTCAACCAACGTTTCGATACACTGGGCCATGTGTCCTCGGGGACAACGATCGAAATATCGTGAATATGGCAATAAAGATGAGTGCAAAAGTCCGAACAATGTAAATAGTGTAAATATTGTTGTTTGAATTTGATAAAACGTTTTTAGATGTATAGATATTTTAAGATTGTTTTTAGTTATTCTTAGAATATTTATATATTATGGTGTTAGTTAAGTCCATGGGGCGAGCCCAGATTATAGCAGCAATATTCCATGTTTTAGTCTGATTTGGATCTTGTAAAGATAGAGCAGTTTTGTGGGCGGCGTTGGGAGGGGGGAGTGGGCAAATTTTGGTCATGCCATGTACACAGTACAGTGTAACCCGGATATAAGAGAGTTGTCGGGACCGGAGAAGTCTCTTATATCCGGGTTTCTCTTATATCCGGGTTTGGTCTATTTTATATACATTAACACAGGCTCTAATTTGGGACCAGATAAAATCTCTCTTATATCCGGGTTTCTCTTATATCCGGGTTACACTGTATGTGACTTCTACAAACAAGAGAACTCTTTTAAATTTGGTACTGCTTTTATGCTCATGTGTCATGATTAGAGACGTCTCTCATGACTATCGGAAAAAAAACCCGGGTACTATATAGCTAAGGGGAAATAACACCCACTTTTACCACTCGCCATTTATCTTCCACGTTTGCATGAGAAATGAATTCTTGCTGCCTATATATATATATATATATATATATATATATATATATATATGTGTGTGTGTGTGTGTGTGTGTGTGTGTGCAGATATGTAGAAAAATAGGAAAGAACACGTGAGGTAAATAATCCGGAGTTCTTTAGTATTTTTGTTTTTATTTTTAAAAAACTGCTCCATACAGAAGTAAAGCTTAAATTATAATTATTTTAAAAAAAATATGATTCCTTCGCTACATAAGAGTTCTCATGTTTCAAAATCGAGAACCGAAAACATCAATATAATTATTAAAATTAAATTGAGTTAAAGTATCAGGACTTGTTTCATCCTCAAGCGAAAATTTGGGAATAACCAATCTTGAAATTTACGCATCAAAACTTGTTCTTATTTATCTATCTCATTTTGATCATATCTATCTATCTATCTATCTATCTATCTATCTATCTATCTATCTATCTCATTTTGATCATATCTATCTATCTATCTATCTCATTTTGATCATATCTATCTATCTATCTATCTATCTATCTCATTTTGATAATAGCGGAGATAGATAGATAGATAGATAGATAGATAGATAGATAGATAGATAGATAGATAGATAGATATTAATAAACTGAAATAGATAGATAGATATGATCAAAATGAGATAGATAGATAGATTGTAAATTTGAATAAATATTATTAGCTGTACTCGGTAGATAATAGAAATTGGCGCTATTACGTTTTTTTAAACACATATACACACATACATACATACACACACATACGCACACACACATATGTAAATATAAATGTGAACATAATGAGGTCAACACCGAGCGGTGACAACTTTTTTCTGGTTTGAACGCTATTATATATATATGTGTGTGAGTGTGTGTATATATATATATATATATATATATATATATATATATATATATATATGGTAAAATTTTTAGTATAGAACACATTTAAAATTTAGTTGGTGGAAGTAAAAAAAATAACGTTTCATTGTGAAACGTTTGTAAAATAAACCAGAAATAATCACTGCAAAACTTCAAGTCAGAACTTGTTTGTTTGTTTCTATCTATCTATCGATCGATCGATCGGATTTTGTTTGTATCTATCTATCTACCTATCGGATTCTGTCTTATCTATCTATCTACCTATCGGATTCTGTCTTATCTATCTATCTATCTATCTATCTAAGTATTTACTTTCTATTTTCTATCTATCTATAAATATAAATTATAAAAAACATTCAAAGCAGAAATAATTCAGTTCATTTTCATTCACAGGTTTGATAAATCTCCTGCTGTCTGTTGGAATCTACCAATTTGGAGGAGGGGAATAGTTAACTGATGCTCAAGGTTCAAACCACTGCTAAGGCAGTTGGCATACATTATAACAGTTTGTTCTTATTCTGCTATGCATGTCTATAGGACAGTAGCTGAGTGGATCAAAGCATTGGTTAATGAATTTAGTGATATAGTAATCATGAGTTCAATCCCTTGACAAGGTAGTAGAGCGGAAACAAAGGTGAGCAACACTGGGCAGTACTAAATAATAAGAAGATGAGACATGGACAGCAGAATGAAAATCTACCCTAGGACATTAAATAAAGCGTTTGGTATTAAATTCCCTTAAGTTTACCTGGAGGCCATAACAGAAAATATATAATAATAAAGATATGGATATTAGTCAGAATGTAAATAAAATACACATTCTGGGGGGAAAAAAATTCAAAGTAGGAATAATTGATCTTTTATTTAAATTTGCAACAGTGTATATCAATAATCTCTAAGTAATAAAGACAAGCAAAATAACATTGAAAATTATGAAGGAAACAAAGATATCACCAATATTTGTGAAAGACAATGTTTTGAAAGACTAACAGTTTATATATATATGTGATGTGAGTCAAACTCACATCAATCCAACCAAATATGTTAGTTCTATCTCTGATATTGAGTCAAACTCACATCTCTGATATTGAGTCAAACTCACATCAATCCAACCAAATATATTTGCTCTATCTCTGATATTGAGCGCTTTCTACCGCGCATATAATATATAAATAATTATATATAAATATATATTTATACACACACACACACACACACACACACACACACACACATATATATATATATATATATATAAGAGAGAGAGAGAGAGAGAGAGACTGGCACAGAGAGAGAGAGAGAGAGAGAGAGGTGGGACTGTGAGAAAGCGTGTGAAAGGCAAAGCGATTCTTACTCATTGGATAATGGCTTAGTCGAATAAAGCTTTAGTTCGTGAATATGTTGGCGTGGTAATTATAAGTTCAATCACAACGCCAGATAATACAGATTTAAACTCAGTGGTTGAGAACTAACTGAGCAGTACTAAAAACAAGACGAGATATCCCTAGACATAGAGACCGGAATGAGAACAATCTATCTCCGTAGATTGAATAAAGTGTTCAGTTAGAAATTTCCTAAACTGTTATCCGGATTGAAAAAAAATGCCGTAAAGCACAACGACTGAAACGTTTTGACAGCAGCAAATAAAAATGAAAAGGGCATTCGATTGAATATAAATGATTCTTACTCACCTAAGTGCTCCACAAAAAATACAGGAAACAAATACTCCCGTCATGCCTTGAAACACACCCAGCGTTTCAATAACAAATTTTAGCAAAAGCTGTAAAAAAAAACAAAGATGTCTTTTTAAAAGACGAAGACCCGAAGGTTAGTAATCACAAAAAGGGTAAAATGATGAAAACTGTTGAAACTATTGAGTTCTAGTTTGTGAAAATATTAGTCAAGAATAATGACAATTTCTCTTATTTTTTATTCTGTGAAAAATAGATTTGCCTAATTGTTCAGGGCTGCTATGTTCACCTATGTGCAATGTCCCTTCAAGATGTTTCCAGTCATGACTCTCCGCAATTTCCTGTCCGTTTTAGCTTTTAATAATTTATTTGCTATCTCTCCTAAACATTGTTTTGTTACTCAAGTTCAAGTCGTTTATGCCTTGTTTTCCACTATCCTTGCCTTCAATCTCTACTCTGAGTATCAGATTTTCCAAGCCCTCTCTCCTATTTATGTACCCTAGGAATTGCATCTACCTGTTCCGAAAAATAACATTTAAGCAATAAATATGTCAGATTAATAAATAAAATTCATTTATTGCTTAGAAATTATTTTACTATATAAAAATACTTTGTAAATGAAAAGGGATTGTGTTTGATCAGGAAGAATGGAATCAATAAATGTAATCAAGAAATGTATTTACCTTACTGTAATCTCCATCAGGTGCACAATTAGCATAGTTTGCATAAATTACAAGCCCGGTAATAGTAAGGAGTGTCGTCATGAGCAGAGCAACCGGAAGCGCTGCATAAATCGATCTGGAGAATAATAACAACAAAAACAACGATAATAATAATAATAATAATAATAATAATAAATGTGTCACATGAGGACATTAATATTTTCAGTTATAGTTGGAACCATCAGTTTGATTGGAAAAGGTTCCGATGAACTCATTTAAGGGAACCCTGGTAGCTCAAACCTTAAAGAAATATTTAAAAAATGTACTCACAAATACAGCTCACACCTTACGAAGGGCTTTATCTATGTAAAATGTGTGTGATCTTAAGTTTTTTTTTTAATGCTCAATGGAAAATGTCATGATGCCATTTCTGACCTTAGGTCTTTGGTTGGGACCCGGAAAGAAATGAGTATACACCAGAAATCAAAGGAATAATAATAATAATAATAATAGGACCTGTTACAATTCTATGGGACTACACAATACACACTGACAGAACAATCAAAGCCAACCACCCAGATATTGTTATTAAAGACCACAAACAAAAAAAGTGCCTCCTTATTGATATGGCAGTCTCTGCTGACTGCAATGTATCTTTGAAGATATTCAAAAAGCTGTCAAAATACAAGGACCTTGAAATCGAAATCTCAAAAATGTGGCATATGGGAACATCAACAATCCCTGTTGTAGTTGGAGCCCTAGGACTGGTTGGAAAAGATTGCAGCAGACTAATTGAAGGGATTCCTGGAAGTCCATGCCTCAAGGAGATACAAAAAAAAAAAATGTTCTGACAAGTACAGTCCGCACTTTACGAAGGGCTTTATTTATGTAATTTTTTTTTGGTCAGTGGAAAGTGTCATGATGTCATTTCTAACCTTAGGTCCCTGGGTGGGACCCGGAAGGAAATGTGTATAGAACAGAAATCAAAGGAACTAACCACAAAAACAATAATAATTGTAATAAACAAATTTACAGTGCAATGTAAAGTTTCTTTTTAACCACTGTAAACAAATATTTACAAAACGGAAATTGTTAACAAAAAAACTTGAAAGTGCTTACAAGAAATGGAGACTGAAAACAAATCCAGCCTAACTGCAAAATTTATAACAAACATAAGTGATAACTTCATGATATATGGCGCGGCTGTTGGAAATGTTGAAAGAAGAAACTTTGACCTCTGACCTCTGACCCAGCCCAGGTGGCTCAATGGGGGAAGGACTTGCTTGTAAAAATCAATACGGCCCAAACCAAACTAGAAATGTTCCACCACCACCACCACCAACAACAGCAACAACAAACAGTCCTGGGCACGACGATAAGCTACATCCGGCAGCAAAGTCTCTGATCAGGAGACTGGAGGTTTTGAAGAACGTAGAACCACCTCTTAAGTCCAACCTGATCCGAGGTAGTAACACCTGTTAGGATCCCAGCTATGGGATTAATAGTGAAAACCCAAACAAAAATAAAAGCACTATGAAAGCATGAAAATACATTTTTATAGTAAAATTACCAGCAATGCATTTTTATATTGTAAAATGACCAACAATATCTATTTACAGTAAAATGACCTACAATGCAATTTTAAACCAAAATAACCAACAATATCTGTAGTTGAAGGCATACAATTGTGTTGAAAATATTTAGATTTCGGCATTAAGTAACCCATAAAGGTTGATATATCGCTAAACAAAATCAGTCAACTAACAATACATATTTATAGTAAAATGACCAACAATACATTTTATCACGAGTTGAAGGCATACAATTGTGTTCAAAATATATTTAGTTGAAGCCATAAAATTGTGTTCAAAATATTTAGATTTCAGCTTTAAATAATCCCTAGAGGTTGATATGTCGCTAAACAAAATCAACCAACCACCTCGAACTTTCACCATATTGATATATGGCAATAAAGATGAAGACAACAGTCCGAACGATGTAAATAGTGTAAATAGTTACAATACCTCATTTCAGAAATATAGACAGATCCTGAAGAAGGCCGGAGTGTACAACGTACTGAAACTTGGAGAATATGGCAATAAAGATGAGGACAACAGTCCGAACAATGTAAATAGAGTAGTTTCAGTACCTCATCTCAGAAATGAAGAAAATCCCTTATTTTCAAAATATGTTTACTCGATTAATTGTCCAAATTTAGGGGTTGATCAGCCCCCTTTTGAGAGTGGTCAGATGAATCAAGCCGCCTTTTAACTACAACTCCCTTCACTTTTCATATCGCACCATCGCTCTATATAAGGCGGTGCTAATCTCTTTCTCTGTTCTCTCACTTTCTCAGCATTCAACCTCAGTTAACTCCAAGGGCTGGTACAACTGTCTTTGTGATGAATCTAATCTTTTAGAACGCAAAGGTGAAAAGAGGATTTTCAGTAATTAATCTGTTTTTATCAGCTTTTCTCACGCTAGTTGCTTTAGATGATTTTCCAAAGCTGAGGTTCTTGTTTCCTTTATTGTCCTCTCTCCTTAATAATAGGTTTTCTTATATTCTCTCACACTCAGTAACCTCTTGCATCTTAGTGGCTTTAGTGCCCTGTTTGAGGTGAAATGATGTAAAAAAATATCAAAATCGAACATAATTAGAACAGTTTTGCTTACCAATCTTTCTCATTTGAACATATTGCAGCTAGGAAGAGATTCTTGATAAAATCCAAAGAAGAATCTGTAATGTTATTCGTCTTGCCAAGGTCTCATCATTTTACAGTTGAAATGGTCACATGTAACCTTAAGTTCTATACTAACAGATTCTTCTATCTCACTTCTTGTTTGTGGAACACACTTCCGGCTCCTTGCCTTGCAGTCACCTTTGACCTTCAAAAATTTAAATGCAATTTCAATCGTTATCTTTCTTCTTAATTCTTGTACTTCTTTTCTCACCCTGGCAGTTGACTTCGGTTTAGGAAGCTCTCTGGTTGCATAAAATAGTTATAGATCCCAGTCTACCACATTCTACTAGATTGGTCCTTGACCCTACAAAAAAAGATTTATCCGCCCTTTGACAAGTTTTGTTTTTTAATCCGAGAGGTTTGGTCGGGGAACCGGTTCAGTCGCAGGTGATCCGACCATGCGCCAGATGGTAATGCGTTACATGGTACCAGTAGTAGTAATTCAATGTCCTTCCAGTTTACAGAATTTCTATGAAAAGCATAAAAATCTGAATGACTGTAGATAGTTAAAGAAAGCAAGAAGAAAATTGGTTGGCTGATTTTGTTTAGCGGCATATCAACCTCTATGGGTTATTCAATGCCGAAATCTAAATATTTTAATTGGTTTGGTTGATTTTGTTTAGCGGCATATCAATCTTATGGGTTATTTAATGCCGAGATCTAAATATTTGATTGGTTTGGTCTGGTTGATTTAGTTTAGTGGCATATCAACATCTTTATGGGTTATTTAATGCCGAAATCTAAATATTTGATTGGTTTGGTTTGGTTGATTTAGTTTAGTGGCATATCAACATCTCTATGGGTTATTTAATGCCGAAATCTAAATATTTGATTGGTTTGGTTTGGTTGATTTAGTTTAGTGGCATATCAACATCTCTATGGGTTATTTAATGCCGAAATCTAAATATTTGATTGGTTTGGTTTGGTTGATTTAGTTTAGTGGCATATCAACATCTTTATGGGTTATTTAATGCCGAAATCTAAATATTTTGATTGGTTTAGTTTGGTTGATTATTTTTAGCGGCATATCAACATCTCTATGGGTTATTTAATGCCGAAATCTAAATATTTTGAACATAGTTTTATGGCTTCAACTACAGATAAACTGTATTGTTGGTCATTTTGCTATAATATCTATTGTTAGCAATTCTACTTTAAAAATGTATTGTTTGTAATTTTACTATAAATATGTATTGTTGGTAATTTTTTTTTACATAAAAATGTATTGCTGGTATTTTTTACTATAAAAATGTATTTTTATATTTTCATAGTGTTTTGTTTCTGATTGGGAGTTCACTATTTTCCCATAGCTGGGACCCTAACAGATGCTGCCATCACAGGTCAGGGTGGACCAAGGAAGAATAGCTATTAATGGCGCGCATGAAGAAAAGGAACAACTATGAATATAAGAAGAAAATAGTCATAGGTGTTAGCAAAAACGAGAACGAAATGTGTGAGCTGCGTATCTAGGACATAAAATTAAAATTATTAAATATAAGTAGGTAAAGAAATTGAATGAGAGTAACAGACGACAGAATTGTATGGCATAGAAATCCGAAAGTGCATAGAAATAGCGAATCAGATTTCTTATAACCCGTTTTAAATATTGTCTCGACGTTTTAAAATGCCGTATCCTTAAATAGAAACTTTCGACCACAATCATATTTATAGCTCAGCACTTTCAAAAATAAAACTGACTTACGCAATGGCGTGTTTCTTTTTGGGAAGAGAAACGAATCTTTGGATTATCATTTGGTTGAAACTGAAAGAGGCGATCCCAGTGAATGTGGATCCAAGTATCGTACTCCATACTGAGTACAGAATCCGAGGATCCGGATCAAATCTGTAAATAATATAAATAAATAAATATAAATAAACATATTGAATAAAAACATAAAACGAAAAATAAAAGAAATTTTCTTATACTTGTGGTTAAAAAATCCTTTAGTTTCACCGAATTTAACAAAATGAAACAGATAATGTTTCCTCTCAAAGACAATCATTGCTTTTACTGGCTTCATCGGTATCTATGAAACATCTTGAACCATGTAAAAGGATTCAGGATAAAGATATTTCTAAAGAGATATTTCATCAACTGCTTCATGACTATCATTGATTTTACTACCTTGATCAGCATCTATGAAATGTCTTGAATTCATTGACCATGTAAAAAGATTCAGAATGGTGATATTTCTAAAGAGATATTTCATCACATGCTTCATGACTATTATTGCTTTTACTACCTTGGTTAGAATCTATGAAATGTCTTGAATCATTATATGATTCATTTCGCATATAAAAAGCTTCAAGATAAAGATATTTCTAAAGAGATATTTCATCAACTGCTTCATGGCTATCATTGCTTTTACTACCGCGATCAGCATCTATGAAATGTCTTGAATCATTATATAATTCATTGCCCATATAAAAAGCTTCAAGATAAAGATATATCTAAAGAGATATTTCATCAACTGCTTCATGACTATCATTGCTTTTACTACTCTGATTAGAATCTATTAATTGTATTGTCTATTAATGTTGTCTGTTTAAAAAGTTTCAGAGTAAATAAATTCCTCATGAGATATCTCGTTAGCTGCTCCAGAATGATCACTGCATTTATCTGCCTCTACGAATTCTCTTGAATCTAAGTCGATTCACTGCCCGTAAAAAAAAAATGTAAGAAATAAATTCATCAAGAGATATCTTGTCAGCTACTTCAGGAAAATAATTGTTTCTGCTGCCCTCGTAGGCATCCATTGACTGGAATCATACGGTTCACTGCCTGTCTAAAAAGACTCAGTAGAGGCAATCTTTTAAAGAGATATCTCATAGCCAAAGGGTTAAAGGTTATATTCATTGTCGCTTGCAACATTTCTTTTGGTCATTGTGACGTTTAAATGCAGTATATCTAAGATTCAGCATTGTATAGTTGGTAACCGGACGCATCTGATCATCGGGATCGTCATCCTCTCTCCTTATTCTCTTTCTCTTTGATGGTGGTGATGACGGAGATGTCTGTGAAGGCCCAGCCTACTCCTGAAGATTTGTGAGGAGAGTGGGTGGTGGTCGCGGCTGGGCGAGTCGACAACACTCCTCTAACAACACGTCGTTGATCCTCTGCATGTTGACGGTTGGATTCAGTTCCTCCCTCGGATGCTCCTACGCCAGGAAGGCCGATTTGCAACAACGGTTTTCGAGGTCGATGTTTGCTTGTGTCAGGGATGTTTTCAACTGATTCTTGAAGCGTCTTTTTGCCCTCTCCGGCTAGTCATCAGTTACAATATTGCACCAAGACTTCGTTTATTAAAATTTTGTTTCGACATTACTTGTTCACTTACACTTTTTCATACATAAACAATGATTAAGTACAATGTTTTTTTTTTTTTAACTTTTCTTGGAAGGTAACGTTTTCAGTATTTTAAACCTTTGGCGATTTTAACTAAGGAAGATCATGTGTCTAAATATCAGGACGTTCATAACTTTTTTTTTTCTCTGGAGAAGAAATATATTTTTAATTTAAAAAATTAATTTTGTATTTTTGAATGAATAAATTAGAAAACAATCATATGCAGTAATATCATCTGTGATAATATGATAACAAGACTTCATTTTTTAATTATAGAGAAATCTTTTCTCCAAAAAACAATCAACCTTTCCCTATGTCTAACGCATTTGCTTACGCGTATGGTCTTCTGTAGCGAAAATGGCTGAGGCCTTTTCAACGAAAGATTTACCTTGAATTTTTTTTTAGTAGTGTGGTTCACTTTATGATATTTCACATCTGACGCGATCCACTGCTCGGAAAATGTTGCCTATGCCTGGTTTAGGAATTATTTCTCCGCTAAAGTAATCATTTACGAGACGAAGTTATGGAACAATGATGCACGGTGGAACCCCTTATTGACCTTTACAAGAGTACAAGAGCGGTTATTACTAAAAAGCCAAGATGTCGGTTTAAAATAAAGAAAATAATAGAACAAAAAAAGTAATATTTCAAATTTTATGTGATGAACGGGCGATGAATTGTCATGCTACTAATTAAATATATTTGTTTCAATATACTATTTAGATAAGCCCGTATCAACAACAACAACAACAACAACGTCATTTGATGGGTCAGAATATAGCCAACAATGGCGACGCCTGGTCGAAGATGAGATAAAATCATTAGTGGTAGCGAATTTGAGACTGAGGCTTGTGACTCTGGGGACCGAACAATATGGCTGCCAACACAACGCGTAACAATGATATCGAACTAAGCGGGAAATATTACGGGCCACTTTTAAAAGGAAACTCCGGGTAACAGGCTAGATGCCGAGAGTAGGGAGAAAGTAACGCCCCTCCTCTGGCAACAACAACAAAAAAAAACTTAGACTATATACAATATGGCAGTAAATGTTTGACAATTTCCCCACAGATGATGAAACACGAAAAATGAGGTATTTGTAGAGGCATAAAGAGAGAAGGTAAGACGTGCATGTTATAAGGATATGTAGGATAGATATTGTTTGACCCCAGACCAGTTCTTTGGAAGAAGCTGTATGAGTAGAACTTCCGCCTTACCAAAGGAATGCGAAGAAGGGGATGATGATGATGAACTGACGCCTTGTACGTGTCATGGCAGGTCATAGACGTAAAGGTTTGATATATATATATATATATATATATATATATATATATATATATATATATATAT